ACACTGTGTATAAAAAAAATAGACCTTTGTCCAGACTGCAGCCAACCCGATTTTCAGTGGGGACAGTTTTCCCCCACCCGAGGCTATTTATATCTAGCAGATGTCTGGGGACATTTTTTGATTGCTACAAATGGGGGACAAGAAGACAAGGAGACAAGTGGCTTCCGAGAACAGGGTACTGCCACATACCCTAGGATGCAGAGGCAAGTCCAACAACATGGAACTGTCAGACCTAAAAACATATCAACAGCAAAGGGGCTTAGAAAAACAAGCCTGGGATGAAGGAGTGGAGAGACAGCATGCGCAGTTATGAATTCAAGTGTCTCAGCACTGGCCTTTTCCTTAGAAAACACTATGTTAGATTCAGAAATCTAACACTACAGACTGATGGGATCTACTATCTGTATAGCCGTACACATGACATCACCTGAAATACTCTCTCTCCATTACTCTATCTACACTTACTCAACAGGCAGAATTTATTCAATCAAGGAATTTACCTTGAGGTGAAATCAACAGCAAGATTCACTGAAGGACAGGGTATGAGCTCCATTACATGCCTGCAATTCTCAAAGTCTGAATTTGAACAAGGTTTCAACCATAAAACTAGCAGTGTGGCTTAGGAAGGGAAATTAAAGCCATTTAAATTCAAATGCTTTCTCTCCCCATCGACCTCCTATCAACAACTATGGAAAGAAGCAAAGTTCTCCCCGTTATAGCGCCCTCTCCACAGGTCCACAGAAACAGTTGTAACGAGCTGTTGCCGCATCAAAAACTGAACTGCTAAAGAACAGGACCCAAAAACAGAGCAAACCCTGTATAAGTCAGAAACCACAGCTCACCTGAGCAGCAACCAGCCTTTGGTTTTCTTACTAAGATTTCTATGGAAACAGAGAAACAACCAGGGGAAACTGAGACCTCTGAACGGAGACAGCTGGAGACCAGAAGGAAGCAGCAAGAATGGCGCCTTGGTCTTCTAGGTAAACATGCTAACATCACAAAAACTGATAGCAAACACAGTTAAAACACACAAAAGAGGTTGATCTCATCAATGTGCTGCCCACACTAAAGGATCTCCTTAAGGCTAATGAATGACTGGCAGAACAATCCCTTTCCAATAAATAGAATCTTGACACCTGTTCTCAAAGCACTTCTTCGGGTCCAGATCCAGAAACAATACATGCAAATCAGTTTTAAAAATAAAGCCTTCAGATCAGATGCAGCCGGGGCATCTGGTCCAGCTAACTCTGAGAAGTCCAAGTGAGAACCGTGCTTGGCAGAGGAGTCCCAGAGGACTACTGACCCTGGGGGGGGGTGGGGGGGGGCGAGGGGACCCGCATCAAGATTGTGAAAGTTCTTGAACTTCTAATCACAGCTGCATCAAAGCACCACCCTTTCCCAAAAGTCTGAGCGCTCAACCATCACAGCTAAGGAGACCAGACAACCACCCTGTGATCGCTAAGCAAACCCCAGCAACAACAGCTATTGTGGACAGCACAGTGCCTGGCAGGGGCTGGTAGAGCACTTTCACCCCACACATCATGCTTCAGACTAAACGATTCATAACAACAAGGAAACAGCAGCTAGGACACGAAGGTCCTCATTATCTACCGCAGTGGATCCATTTTATCAAGCTGTTCTGTGCCGCACTCAAAAATTACTAGTGTGGCTTTGGTTGTGTGAGGGTGTTCACTTATATGTGGGTAAGGTCTACATTGCATAGACTGGCCCAGGACATATATTAGTACTCCTGCCTCAGTTTCCCAAGCGCTAAAAGATGCTACTGGTGTAAAGCATTTAAACAGACTTCTATATATACATCTAATTTCAAGGGCTTATTTAAGGCATCAAAGTCCCTATCATAATGGCTTTCAAATCAAGTACTTCAACACATTTTCATTTTCTTACTTGATAAATGTTATCTGAGCCCAAAGATCAAATCTAGGCCTCACCTGCACATCTTTCCTCATTCTCTAACTTCTACAGAGGTGTTCAGAAGCTAACCAGTCCTTACGCCACATGACACACTAGCTAAAGACATTCTCTGTTATACAAATCCTGATTCCTGGTTTTAATTCTCTAGATACAAGCATGAGGCACACAGCAGCAGCCATGTTGGAATGGCCAGCCCTTTCAGGGAGATCTAAGATTTCTCCATCCCATCTGCTCACACCCTCATAGCTAGTTTAAAGCGGTCTCACAGCATTAGGTCCCAGCCAGCCTCTCTTCAGACTGGAGTTTTGTTTGAGGTGTTTTTCTTCTTTTACTTATTTTAATTTCTTTGGCTGAGATCAGTTAAATAACCCTAAGAATATAGGCCACTGGTAGCCACAGCCTCTGACTTTAAAGTAGCTCTTACAGTAACACTTGGGGAAAGCCCTCTTAGTAAGGTTCCCAGAGGCAGGCAGGGCTCTGGGGTGGGATGGAGGCGGAGCTGGAACAGGGCGGAGCTGACAGGTGGCAGTAAACAAAGTTGCAAGAATAAAAGTCCACAGAACATCAACCTAGGATGGTCTTAAATACAGTTTGCATGGACCACACAACTTAATGAAGCTACCACATCAAGTGAAAGAAACTAGAATGCACAACATAACCTCTGGTGTGTTGTTATAAGACACCAGACACACATACACCGACAAAATGGGCACTACTCAAGAATTCACCACCAAACTCTGCTCAAGAAACACACTGCCAGAGTTTTGCCATGCTTGGTACTGTGAAATTAAAGTTAACCTGTAGTTTAGACACAGAAAAGAATTAGAGAACCCACATGTTGAATGCTCTGCTTCATAATGGCAGTCTTCGTTGTAAGACTGCTTTGCTGTGAGGTGTTAGAAGACCTTTGGGAAGGCGTAAATGCGAAGGGGTGAGTGTTCCAGCCAGGGACCCACATCCGCTATGCCTCTGGAATAAAAGTCACCTTTGGGTGGGGGGACGGGGCTAAGGTGCCACCAGCAAGTTTGTTTCTGTTCAGCGCCATTCTGGCAAAAAGCAGGCTAGAGCTCAGCTCTAGCAAGAGGGTTCCAGGAGGCAAGGCAGCTTGGTGGCTCAGCGACTACACACGAAGAGCTGCCTGTTCAAGTCCCAGATTTCGTCGGTGTGACCTTGGGCATGGTGATAGCTCAGCTCCACATCAACTGCATTGGCACTCCAGCTAATGCCAAACACAGGATTCTCAGGCTTGAAGAGGGGGATTTATGACGTCTATCCACTGGGAGACTCGGAGTCCACCAATACTAAACCTTTCTACAGTGAAGTCCAGATGAGAGAGGTACCACTCGCAAGCCCTCTCTCCCCGTACAGAAAAGACAGCACTACACTGCAGGCACTACTCCTGAAGCCCACCACCACCAAGGCACACTCCAGGCAGAACTTCAACTTCTCAGTGAGGTAGGGACTCTTACGGATATAGGAGAATTAACTGCTTAAGATTTCTCAGTAACTGAATGAGTCACTCACTGCTTTAGAAACAGAAGGAAATGTCAAGGTTACCAGAGAACCTCATGCAGATGTTTGCATAAATCATGCTCAAGTGGTCACTCATCCAAAGCCAGAGAGAGGGTATTATTAAAACATTACTAAGTAAAAGGGTTCCATTTTTTCTATTTCCTGTAATGGAGGAAATGGAAATGGAGTTAAGAGGATCACCGTAAGTTTAACTCCAAATCACAGAGAATATGGAACAAAGTTCAGAACTCCTGAGCTCTGGCCACACGGGTTTACCTGTTGCCACACTGTTTACTTCAGTCTCAACAGGCCTGGTGCAAACTCCAAGTTCAAAATTAGAGGCAGCCAAAAGTGCTAGTTACATATTTTCTCTATCGTACTGTCTAGGGAAAGCAGAAGACTGTAAACATTTGGAAACATCTGTCTGTAGTCAGGCTTTTAATATCACTCTTCCAAAAATTATTCCTAGTGCTCTGGACCAAAGACAGAGTCCAAGTCCTCGTTTCAATTTCGTAATACTCCAAGTAAAGCCTGTACTTCAATTTCGGTTCCCAAGCCACTCACCCTAGCATATCAGAAGAATCGGCAAGGATTGTTTTCAGTCATTTAAACCGTGAAAGAAAAAAAAAAATTAAACATCACCCTTATTTGGATAGGTCATAGATTTCTCTAGTCGACGAGTGGTTAGCTTGTCAATATTTGGATTCTCCGGCGTTCTCCACACCGCATATGCTTTCTCGAAAATGCTTGCGTGTCAACAGCAAAGAGCGTCTAGCGTCGCTGCGTGGCCACCTTCCAAACAGAGCCCATTGCATCGATTTGCTTATTTTTAGTAACTTTTCCTGAAAGACTTGTGTGGGTCTTTTTATTTTTTTCCAATCCTCTGCCAGTTTGACCACCCTGCACAGAACTGAGCGCCGCACAGCTTCCAGCTGGAGAATAACACGCGCTTCCCCGCTCTGCTGCAAATCCATCCTATGTAACAGCTGAAGAATGACGACACTAAAATCAACGCTTCTATCCACATCCAAAAGGGCTGCAACAGGAAATAAACTTTTTATCTCTTAAGACACAGTGAAGGGGGACGGGGACAGAAACAGAAACCTGTTTTGTTTTTTTGTTTTTTGTTTTTGTTTCTGTTTTTTTTTTTTTTTTTTTTAAGGTGGGCTAGGTGTCCTGCGCTTAGGCTGTGCACAGTGAGGTCCGGGCAGCCTCTGGCAGCTTAACCCTGAGCTAGCCGAGGGGGCGACCCACGGCGACACTGGTACCGCGCCGGTTCCCCGGCAGCAGGTGCCCGAGACCACTTCCACAGGCCCGGGTGCGAGCGAATGCCGGAACAAGGCCACTCCTGGCGAGCGCGAGGCTGCCCTAGAACGACGCCCAGCCAGCACTTTGCTAACTCGGTGGTCCGAGCGCCGCACAGCCTGGGCCGGATGAGGCTCCGCCGGGTCGTCGGGTGTGGCCTCACCCTGCCCCGGCCCCGAGCGTTGGTGGGAAGAAGTGAGAGCCCCCAGGCTGGCCCTCCAGCCCCGCGCCCGCCGCCAGATGCTTACCTGCGGGAAGGAGCCCTCCTGGCGCGGGCCCCGAGGGTAATCCAAGTGACCTCTGTCCAGCATCAGGTACAGGGAGAAAATGACGACGCAGAAGATCGCGCTGCCGAACACGGTGAACTGGCGACTTAACTTCATTTTTCCTCGATAGACTCGGGGCCAGGTCACGGTCCACACACGAAAGAGGCGGAGGACTGGGGACTTGAGCCGGCGACCGCCGAGGGCTCTCTGCTCCGGGCTGCACACCCTTCGCGCTCTACGGTAGCGCGGGTTCCGGCCGCGCTCCGCACCTCGTCTCCAGAGCCGCCGCGCGCCCTCGGCCTACGCCCCGGCCCGCTGCCCTCCCCGGGGCTGGCGGTCCCTGCGAGGCGGACTCCTGAGCGGCCAGGGACGGGGCCCCGCAAACTTGCTCTCCCGCTGGTGACCGACACCCGGCGGGGCGCGCGGAGCCGGCAGGGGAGGGAGAGGTCGCTGCCCCGACTTCCTGCCACTGCCGCCACGACGGAGTCGGCAGGAAAAGTTTTCTCGACCAGGACAGGCGTGTCCTCCGCGCCCAGAGAACGCGCGGGTTCCGCGGCTCCAGGGCCGAGCGCGCCGCGCGGGGAGCGAGGAGCGCGCCGGAGGAGGAACTGGACCTGGAGGCGCCGCGCCCCACAACTTAGCGCCGGGACACCCGGGCCCGCCCCCGCCACACCGCCCCCGCGTCCCCGCAGGAGCCCCTTCCTGCCGCCGCTACTGCGGGGGCCCGGCCGGGGTGCACCCTGGGCTCCGGGGCGCTGCGATCCAGGACTTTCCACAGGGTGTGCGTCGGTTCCCCGGCCTCTCCCGGTCCCCGGCCGCCCCTACCTTCCCCCCTCCCGGGCCCGAGCCGCACGCGGAGGGCGCAAGGGGGGCGGGCGGCGCCGGGAGGAGGCAAAGCGGAGCGAGGAGAGGACCGTCCCCGGAGAGGAGCCCGCTCCAGCTGCAGCCGTGAGCACCCCCTCCTTCCCGCCCCGAAAACGCGGAGATGGCGGCGGCGGCGGCCACGAAAGGAAGAGCCGGTTCCCCGGCGCCGCTTGGCGCTCCGGTGCCGCCCGCCACGAGCCGGAGGAGACGGCAGCGGCGGCGCGGCGGCCGTTGGGTCAAGAGGCGCCCCGAGCCCTGGAGCTGGGCAGCCGGCTGGCCCCGCCCCCTCGTGCCGACGCGCCGGGAGGAGGGGGCGGGCCCCCCGGCGCCCAATCACAGCGCGCCGCCCGCCAGGCCCGCCCCGCGCCTGCCTCGCTGGGCCCTGACAGTAGGAAGACCTCCAGAGGCTTCGGGGACGAGGGAGGTGGCCCTGCAGGGATTGAGGCCAGCAGTAGGGTGCTTGCAAGGCTCCAGCAGCCGGCCTTCCCTAGCGCCCGTGCTTCATTCCCCAGATCCCGTCCTCTGCCCGGGTCTTCTGTTCTGGAACACCCAGATCAGAGTGCCTTGGAAGGGCCGGTGTAGGGCTGTAGGAAAAGGTAGACGAGATATCTGAGGATCCTGTTTGGACTCATCTCTTCCTCTTGCTTCTGGTGACATCCTGGGGAAGCCTGGGAGCTAAAGAGGCTGACGAAGCCTCGTGCAGCCAGATGTAGACGTCTGTCGACCAAATCTAATGAAGGGGGGGTGGGGAGGATTAGAGAGAAAAGCCTGGACCGGCTGCTGAATGATAGCCTCTGGGCTCCAAAATTCACCCTTTTTGCACTGCGCCGTGAAAATGAATCTGGGCCCTTTGAGTGGGTTTGTCTTCTCCTTCTGGGACGTTTTGTCAGTAGAGGGTGCTGAAGAGACATTACAGGAAATCAAGGAACTTGCTTCCTGGTTCTGGTATATCTGATAAGCAGTTTCTCCTAGCATACCTGACTTGTTCAAGTCCAAACTCCTTGGTGGCCCACAGTTTTGTAATGGCGTAAGGCATGATCAGCTTACCTGGCACTGTCTAGCAACAATGTATAGCAAGTTCCAGGGGGCAGTATCACAGTGACCTCTGTTTTTCAATCAGCCATACTGCAGTTACCATAAAATCTCTGTCTTAGCCCTTGCCTGGATGGGCAGGGCTGCCTTTGGGGGCCCCTTCATCAGCTCAAGAGGTAGTTATTGGGTTTGCACCCCAAAGCTGCTGCCCATATTCTCTCTGGTTTTCTTCTTGCTAGTGAATCCCTCGTTATTTAATTCTCTATTAGAGTTACGAATTGGTTTTCTTAAGCCTTCAGCGTCCAGGAAGTCGTCCCCAGAGCCAGATCTGCAAAGACAGGATTTAAAGGTCAGATTGACTGGCCTTTGCCTAGAGTGCCTTGCCAAAGGGAAATAGGATGATAATTTGGGTCATGAAGAGCATCTCAGTTAATTAAGCAATCACCTGTGGTTGACTCTTAGGAAAGAGCAGTGGACAGGCACATGGGGGACTAGGTGAGAGCTACGTTTGACTTCATGGCTACAAAAGGAACTACAAGGACAATGGGGGGGGAGGGGTGGGGAAGGCTACCTTGGCATACTTCTGAATGCTTATAGAGAGAATGGCAAGTCCGGATCCATCAGCGCTCCTATAGTATGAGGATCAAAGACAGTCCATTACAATTCTAAGAGAACCCCTTTTGCAACAACAAGAGTTATATAACTGAAGATTAAATGCTCTATTTTGGTTTTGGAACTGGCTGACTTATTGTTGACTGTTGAATTCACAGATGTGACAAGTTGTTTTTTTTTTTCCTCTAAAAAGAGGATGGATTATTGGTGAATGATAAAACCCTAAAATTTGGAATGAGTCAGCTACATATAAATCTAGCAGTCCTGCCCTGTATGCCCAGCCCTCCCCCAGCACATACCTGTGGCATCACTCTATGCTGCTCTTGCCAGTAAAAGCAGGTTATCACTCTGCAGCTAGCACATTTGGTCTTCTTTGCTTGAAAACCTTGTCGTTTTGGACTGGCGAGATGGCTTAACAGTTGGATCATTGGCTATACCTCTAGAGGACCTGGGTTCTGCACCCACGTGGCAGCTCACAACCATCTGTAACTCCAGTAACACATGGGAATTTGGTACCCTTCTGGTCTCTTTGGACACCAGGCATACATGTAATACATACAGGCAAAACATCCATATAATGAAAATGGTTAATTTTTTAAATCTAGTCCTATTTAAGGTTTGGGAGATTGTGGACATATGTATGTTGTTCTAAAATACTCATCTTTCTGTGAAATCCACCAGAAGTGGATGTCCTCATCCAGGGCAGAGTCCTTAACATGGAATTTGTATCTTTCTCAAATAACTACCAGTCAACTTCTGAGCTGCCATACCTGAGACAATGATCACATTTTAGTGTGTGTTTGTTGTGGGAACCCGTCTGGGTCCCATAGCAGCTTTCAGCCCCCAAATAACACACAAGACACTATATTAATTATAAGCTATTGGCCATTTGGTTTCTTACTGGCTAGCTCTGACTTAATTATTGACCCATAATCATCAATATATATTTTTATAAGGACTTATCTTTTCAAGAACGCCAGACTTGTGTTCTCTTCCCCTGGGATCACATGCTGAGGGCTCAGTTCACTACATTTCCCAGAATCCTCCTAGACTCCTAGTCCCACCTATCTTGCTTCCCTATTGGCCAACAGTGCTTTATTAACATACACACAGGACTTCTCCATCAGCTCTTTTCTGTCTAAATAAAAAGAAAGATTTTAACTTAAACATAGTTAAATTATATATAACAGAACAGTTATCAAGTAAGAACTATAGTTAAAATATTTTGTCCATTAACATTTAGTAAGATTTAAAGAAAATATTATCTATCCTATCTAAAGTCTAAAGTCTTATATGTAACTAATCTTTTAACTAAGGAAAACTATAATTACAACTATCTGTCTTCAACTCCATCAAAGACCACAGAAGGATAATGTATAAACACTAGAATTGACAGAGACATCTTGCTACCTGGACAGTCACCCGAAATTCCTCTGTAATGTTGGGGCATCCATCTTTAGCCCATAGGCCACAGTGTGTCTGGAAGACTTCTCAGCCAAGCAGGAAATTTCAAACTGTCCATCTGCATTAGCAGTCTGTCAGTCATTTTTCTGTGTCCTGCAGAAAGTCTCATATACTCTTCCATGAAGCAGGAAACCTGTAGGACTGTTTGAGTTCAGCACTCACTTTCCTGTGGGTCCTGCATGTCCAGTTTATACATCAACAGTCAAGCAGTTCAGGCAAGAGCAGTTTCTTGCCCAAATGGCTAATCTTGTCATGTTGAAAGTAAAGTTCATAACAAGTTTCTTCAATGCCCATCTTCCTCTTAGACATAATTGGTGCTGCCAGGAGCAGACATTTCTCATTGTACCTTTAAAAAGAGATTGGTTATGATCATTAACCAATTATAAGCAACCCCATTTAAATGAAAACAAAGATTCATAAACAATATTTGGGAATTTGGACATTGCTCATTCTAAACTGCTTCCTGCTTTCCTGCTGATAGGGGCCGCTGTCCATACCATGGGGATCATGACAAAACACAGAAACCTGCATTAAGTCCTTGTTTTTGTGGTCTGTAAAGCTGCATCATCTCAGCTGTCTTAGATGTTGGAACATCTGGCCCACTGCTTCTGGGGGTCTTGGTTCATCAAACCACAGAAGCCTGGAAGGAATCCACAATGATCACATTTTAGTGTGTGCTCTTGTGGAATCGGATGGAACAATAATTCACACAACAAAATAACAGTTGTGTCCAGTAGATGTTGGCAAAAATTTGGGAACCATATATAGAAATGGTTCCTAAGGGTTTGGGTCCTTGAAAGATACAGTGTAACACTAGATATAGTCAAAATGCATTGCTACTCTGGGCTGGAAAGAGGCTCAGTAGCCAAGAGCGCTTGTTGCTCTTACAGAGGACTCCGGTTGTGTTCCTAGCACCAATGTAACAACTCAGAACCTAGTCCAACTCAAGTTCTGAGGATCTGATGCCCTCCTGTGGCCTCTGTGGGCACTGCATCTGTATGGCACACATACATACAAGCAAAATACCAATATGCAGAAAATAAAAATAAATAGTTTTTAATATAGTTCTACTCTTAGGCATTTAGCTCATGCAGCTAGAGGTGATTTGACTAATGGGCAGTTTAGGAGACTGAGATGCCAGAGATTCATGACATGACATGGAAAAGGAAAGCCAATGATTCAGAGAGAAATAAATATTGTATTGAATTTTATCATGTGCATGTGCAAACCCATCCCCCAGCTGTGTTCCATGATGAGACACAGAAAGTACACCCTTCCCTAACATGTTGAGAAAGACACTGAAACATCTCTGTAGACTCTGCCCCTGTGGGCCAGGTGTGACATCAGACAATGGCACCATTTAGCTGGCTTCACTGATTTACATGAAGATGGCAGGATCCTAGAATAGAAGAAGCCTAGCTGCACTTAACCAACAAAGTCTGTAGCTGTAGTTTTCTTTCCAGCCTGGTCCCACAGCCCCCAAATGAACACTCGGAGACAGTATATTTATAAACCGCTGGCCAGTATCTAGGGCTTCTTATTGGCTAGCTCTGTCTTAATTATTAACCCATAGCTACTAGTCTATGTATTTCTACATGGTCTTGGCTTACTGGAAAATGCCTTCGTGGTCTAC